GAGAGGCAGCGATCGTGACCATCACCCGGCGCCAGGTAACGACCGCACCCAGAAACACACGGATGGTACGACATCTTTAAAAAGACGCGTCTTTAAAAAGACGTTCCACCCGTGAAGCTCTTTTAGATGGAAATTGCTCTTTTAGTGTGCTGAAGCGCACAGGGGAGATGGCCGTCTGCAACACACACAGAGGTAGTGCAGCCTGTTGTGTGCAACCCACTCGACACGGGAAAACCACCGCCGCTGAAGCGCCGTACCACCAGCACGAGAGCCCACGAAGAGCGTGCTTGACTGTAGTTTTTACTACCATAGAAGGTCAGGAGCAGAACGATAGAACCGCTCGGCTCCGAAGCGAAAAGCTGAATATGCGCTGCATCTGCTGCCTACTTATACTCACGCTGTGATCAGCAGCAGCTGGATGCAATAATCACATGCCAATGTGCATTGGCTCGTTTAGTTTACACTCGAAGTAGATTGGTCTCTCTAAGCGAGATCCCAATTCGTCGGTCATCCGGCGTGACGTCGAGAGTGACCGACTGAAAGGGAACTAAAACTAATAATAAAAATAAAAATGACAAAAAAAAAACACAACTAAATTGCCAAAACTTAAAAATTAGAATGAAAACAGGAAATACTGTATATAAGAACATAAACTAATTCAAAATATATGTGAAAACTGTAATAATATGTCAATGGTATTAAAATAACACTGGCTGTTAATGTCCAGTTGAAACTTATTTTCATTTTTAGATTCTCTTGAGCTTGATTACAATATCTATCAAAGTTTTGTCTGATTTTACAGTTCTCTTATCAGGTCAATAATTGTGCAAATGTTTTCCTCTGTAATTGTGTGGATACTTAAATGAATGCTGTATTGTAGGGCATTCTGGGTAGTGTTTACCGTTTGATAATGTAATGGACTTCGCTCTATTATACTTTACTCTGGTGTGAATTAGAGCTTAATGATTAACATGTATAAGAAGTCACATACAATTATCAGTTTCACATGCAGAGATGTAGAGAAACAGAGCATGTATGTATGTGTAGAGTGCAGAGGGAGGTAAAGAGAGATATGCATGGAGACGGAGGAAGGGATGTGTGGTATATTGTTGTCTGTGATTAATGAGCTCTCAAGGGAGCGGTTTTAGTTTGGCCCCTCAGTGATGCCAAATGCTTTAGTTCAGAATCATCAGTTCTTCATACAAAGCCTTCTTGAAATGACAAACATGAAACAAATCTAAAGCTTTTTCATAAAGTTTAGTTACACTGTGATACAGTTACTGTAACAAACAAGTTTGGAGTCAGATTTTTTAATGTTTTTGAAAGAAGTCTCTTCTGCTCACCAAGGCTGCATTTATTTAATAAAAATACAGTAAACAGTAATATTGTGAAATAATATTACAATTTAAAATAACTGTTCAATAACTGTTGAATTTGAATATTTTTTAAACATTTATTCCTGTGATGCCAAGCTGAATTTTCAGCATCATTACTAGGGATGCACCGATACCACTTTTTCCAGTTCCTTTCTGCTGTCTGTTGTTCTGTTGTTGGTGTTTCTTTGTCTGAATATGGGCTTATCACATGCTGTGTGGTATCGGCGTTTGGTATCGGGGCATTTTAACGAGTACAAGTACGAGTACAAGAGCTCAGTATCGGGCCTGATACCGATACCAGTATCGGTATCGGTGCATCCCTAATCATTACTCCTTCAGTCTTCAGTGTCACATGATCCTTCAAAAATCATTCTAATAATATGATTTTCTGCTGAAGAAACATTATTATTATTATCATATTGAAGTCAGTTAATGTTTTTGTGGAAACTGTGGTACATTTTTATCAGGATTCTTTGATGAATAGAAAGTTCAAAAGAACAGTATTTATTTGAAAAATAAATGTCACATTTGACTGATTTAATGTATTGTTGCTGAATAAAAGTTTTTTTTTTTTTTTTTTTAAAGCACTGACTTCATATTTTTGAACAGTGGTGTAAATAGTACATATTTCTGAACAATATAAATATTAATATTCATTAATATTAATATCAGTTGCTTGTAGAGCTGAACTATCAGCTTCATAAATGTTTGAAGTTGAACTATTTATTGACATCACATTGAACTATCAACTTCATAAACTGAGTTTTTGTCCATAAGCTGGACTGTGTTTGTTTGGTTGTGTTTAAATAAGCTTTGAATTGTTCAAAAAGAGCTGAGATGAGTTGAACTGTGGCATTTTGAGTTGATTTAGTAGTGCTTAAAAGATTGAAACAAGCACATGAAATTAATCTCTCTTCATTGAACAAATATCAACTCATGTCAACACAAACTCAGCAGTAGTGAACAAGGAAAAAGGGTTGTGAGCTTTCAGAATTAACTCAATGTGAATTATTTCACAGTATAACAGGTGACAATACATGTTTAATGCTCTTCACAGAGCATGAGCACACATACACAAGTGGTCTGAACATGATCATTATTAAAAAAACATTTTATAAAACAGTACAAAGAATGCGTTTCTCATCTGTTTGTTAAAATCACCTCCTTCTCTATTTTTTTGTCCAACAACAAGGCTCTCTCGCTCTCTCTCTCGTCCTCTGCTCCCCCACTCTCGTTCCCGTCAGTCAATCTTGCAGCCGTTATCAGCATTGGCCTGGCAGATTTAACGCAGGAGGATGGAAACATCTGGATCTTATTTAGTAAAATCATCCCTCTCCGTTTCTCTCTGCCCTTCTGGCACACTCATAAAACTATCCGAGCAGAGACCCCAACCGCTGCACCTCCAAACATTACGTCAGCGCTGGTTTTTCCCTGCAGAGCAGAATTTTCATCACCCATTTTTTATATATAGAAAAAATACATTTTTGGATTTTTATACTTAAAAAGTTAAGCACAGTTGCGATCACTCAAATGGCTTAAGGGAAGTGATTGCTTTGACTCTTGGTTTATACCTGGTGTAAACATACACCGACAAGCTTATAAATAGATCAGTCTGAGTAAACTCACATCCACAGAATTGAACCATGACATTTCACAGGTGGATCAAACCTGTTCATTGATCACAATAGGGCCTTTCGCACTGCGGGAACCTTTTCATAGTACCAGAACCTTTAAATGGTACTGGGAAATAGTTTGTGCAAAATCGTCCCAGTACTTTAGTACTGTACATTTAGTTCCGGAACTAAAGCGGTGCGAAAGGCCCTAATGACAAGTTGTTTTGGGATATTTTGTGAGTCAGAATTGTGTTGGCTTTCTGTAAATGGTGCTGTCTAGGTCGGGATATCCACTGGGGCGGATTGTGAACCCTCTCCGGCTGTGGGAGGCTGATGGACCAGAGAGTTTTCCCAACACTAACACTGGAATTCTTCACATTCCGTCTTCATTAGTGGCCTAATCTATCAAAGAGAGAGAGAGAGGGGTTTAGTGGGGGTCTCTACATACTCAACTACACCTCCACCTGACCTTGAGCTGATTCCCCTCATTCTCTCCATCCTTTGCTGCCTTGCCTTGCTTTCTTTGTGTAATTTGTATATCTGTACCTGTTGTTGAAACTTGGACTTCAGTGATTGCATACATTCTTCAATTAAATTTATGCATTTAGCAGGACTTTTTATACAAAGCGACTTGCAAAAGAGGAATAAAACTACTTTGTAATTTCAGTATCAGGATTTTAGGTTGTAATATGGTTGTATAAGGGAAAGTGTGTGTGTGTGTGTGTGTGTGTGTGTGTTAGTAATATATATATAATGTGGTGTATGATTTTTCGGTTTTCAGTTTTTAATCTTCTCTTCATTCTTCAATCATCCCTTCAGTCTTCATTTAAAAAGACCTGCAGTGTAACAAATCAGGACTCAAATTACATGTTCTTTTTTCTGCAGGCCTTGAGGGAAAAAATGCTATTTATTTATTGCATATATTGCAAAATATACAGCATGTTATTTACATTTACACCTAAGGAAAATAATACAACATTTGTATTTGTATTTTCATTAGTTTTTTATTTATACATTTTTTATTCTTTTTTTTACAATAATAATGTTAAAATACATTAAATAAAAAAATCAAATACAAAATTATTAATACAAATATTATATGGTTTGTTAAAGTTAAATAAATTTCATATGGGTTCATAATGTGCAATAATAGCTATAAATTATGCAAGGTATCATTTTTGACAAGTGCTTGTATTTGGTGTTGAATCTATTGCACAACTTGATAGACAACAAGTCATGTTCTGAAAATTATGTATATTATATATTTGTTGTATTTTAATTTTTTACCCAAAAAGCATGCACATACCCTTTTTTACATTTATTATACAATGCATAAAGAGAAAGATTATGCAAGAGATTATGCAAGAAAAGGTGCTTTATTTGGTTTGAGTGTGCAGGGTCAGTTGGCCTGGGTGAGAGTGACCTATTGCAGGTGTTGCAATGGAGTGATTACAGCGATGGGTCATGTGGTGGAGATGTGGAGAGATTTGGTAAAGAGATGGAGAAGGGGGCAGATGCATAGAGAGGTATGGATGGGAGGATAGAGAAAAGCTATTTTCATGCACAATAAAAGAAAACTTTCTTCGCAAGTGACCTTCCTTTTGGAGTTTTTACCATTTGTATTGTGTCTATAACCTCCAAGACATTTATGTTTTCATGGACCTCATGTGTGATCCCTAGTTTGACCGTATGTCATCAATCTGGCTGTTAAACAAGCAAACAAATTATCAGAAGTGTTGCAAGCAACACAAAACTGTCTGCTTCTTTTGTTGGAGTCTGAATGAGAGATGTTGTGAAACTGTTATTTTATCACTGTAGAAACGGTGCGTAGGAACACGATACTCATCCTCCTTTCTCACTCTCTTCTTCTACCTTTCTCTGTCTCTCTCCCTCTACTTCCATTGCAGGTCATGATATTAACAGCTCTTTGGAGCCAACAAACTTTGACACAAGTATCCTGGAGGAATACATCAGCAAAGAGGACGACAGCACTGACATGTGAGAATCTGGAAACAGCTTCTACCACTCAGTACACCAAATTTCTTCTGGTGATGTGCTTATTTTGATGATAATAAATCAAATCGGCTATCAGATGGTGATTTGTTTTTTCTCCTCTAGTTGTTTCACAGAGGTCCACAGCACCCCGGGACCCCAGTATCCCTCGCCCCAGGCCGGGGCATCCTCTTCAGGGGGGGTAGGGTGTGGCGTGAGCCCCCCCATCCCCCTGCACCCCTCAGACACAACTACCCCTGTCTGGGGCAACAGCAGAGCCAAACACCCCAACACCAACAGCCACACGTCAAACCAGACCACCGCGGACAGTACGCACCGGGGTAAGAGAAACCGCATAGAGACCACATAAGGAGCAAATATGGCGAAATATGTCAACAGATGGATTTTTTCTATACTATGTAAATACTATATATATAGTATAGAGCTATATAGATTATATAAAAGGTACAGCTCCTACTAGTTGACACTGAAAACAATAGTCGTTTACACGACAGAAAAAAAAAAGAAAAACAAAAACATGATTTTATCATTCAAATTACTATAATTTTAACATTGCAATTAAAACATTTTAAATGCTACACGCACGCACAGAGGTTTTTTTTTTCTTACCATCTTTTGGGGGCTTCTTGCTTTTAGACTAGTCGACTAGTTGGATACAAAACTTTCGTTTAGATGACAGTCAAATTAGTCGTCGCACACATCCCTAATTTATACCGATTCCATACCATGTATCATGTCATCCTTCATTTTAATGTGTAACATTAGCCTATCTGAGCGACGCGACTGTCGGCGCTGCCAGTGTTGCCAGTCAGATTAATGAAGAGCACGCAGCTCAATTAACTGCCAGAGGAATACTCAGACTGATTTAATTTTATTTTGAATATTATTTTGTTTATTTTTGCATTATATTTATTGCGATTTAATCTCCCGTTCTTTTTCACAGTGTAATGACGTTCAATCGTTGCACGCAATCACGGAGAATATAACACGATTAAGATGATCAAACTTATTTTTAATTATCGTCTATGGGCTGGAAATATTTCTTTATTTTAACAACTTCCATTTGATGCAATTGAGATTGCATAATAAAATCAGCGCATTAAAAAAATGTGAGCATTATGTTTAATACAACAAATTTGCCCTAAACCTTTAAATTAATCCTTCTATACAGCCTTTAGTCATAATTAATGTTTTAAGCTTTGGCAAATTCTAATGCTTATTAATGTGATATGTTGTTTGTATAGTTTTCTTGCTGTTCTGAAATGAAATAAGGTGATCAGACTGTGAAGAATTGCCTATACACATACAGTATGGCTCGCGCACTCCTGTTTAAGTCACTAAATACGCATCGGGATATCGTGACAACATATTCCTTCGTTTCATAATACTCAATTAATTGTTGTAAACTGAGATTGGTGTCTTTAGAAGACGTGTATGTGCTGAATTCTACATGAATAATCCACAACAATGCCGTGCTATGGGCACAGCCATTGATAGAGGCTGCAGCGGAAGTTCTTTTACGCTACTATTTGAATCTTCCGCTTTTCAAACTCGGAAGTGTGATAAAGGCCTATTCTGTCACGTTTTCTCCCTATATTTCCAAACCGCGACAAATGCCAGTCTCCCTTCTCTGCAGAATGCGATACATCCGCTCAACCAATCACAGCGCACCATTCCACGCATTGTAAACAGTAACTGACAAGCTACACAGATGAATCGCCTTCGATTGTGAACGCGATATTGCGTAGCTTGTCAGTGATCTACGGCTCTGTGTATTAAATGCCGCTCCATCTGAAAGCAGGTGATGGAGATTTACTGCTAATCACAGAACCAGATTAACTGATGAGATGCGCTTGACAATCATATGCAATTTATTGTGCAACCCTAAAAAAAATTATAATTTTGACGGCATTGATGAACCTGTGGTGGTTTCTGCGGTGGGGAAGAAACGTAAGCTATTAATAAGATTAGTATTGACCAAGTTCAGAGGCTGTCATATGTGGATCAACTTACTTTGTTGTGTATTTACAATTTCATTATGAAAAATAACTTTTATATTGATTCAATGGATTTATTGCATTTTGGGAAAAAAATAATCAGATTTTATAATAAATCTTTGAAAACCAAAATCTGGATTTGAATTTTTAATGTTATTATAACCTAAAGATGCTATGTGAAAGTTTGAAACAGAAAATAGTGGTTTTCATCTCGCCACTTTCTTGGTAAAGAAAACACATTTTTATTCAAATTAATCAAAATGGATTTATAGTGTTTTGGAGCCAAACTCTTCAAATACACCTAGCAACACATTAAAACTCACTCAGAGTACCTTGCAATTGCGTAGCAACCACAAAACCCTGACAATCACTCATATTGTCATGTACTTAGTGTGTTTAATAGGAATGTGCATCTCCATAACTGAGGCAGATGCGATACGCATACAATTGAAGACACATATGAAGTAGCTAGCGATGCAATTCACCCCTATTACGATGCAGTGCGATTCGATTTCGATTCGATCCGATTCAACACAATGCGATTCGATGCAATACGATGCAATGGAAAAAATATGATCGCATTTATTTCTTTGGTTCAGACAGACAGCAAATCATAAATTAACTTATGTGACTACTGACTTCTAACGCCTCGAGGCCTGTTTCATAAAACAAGTTTACCAAATAGGCCAGGCTTATTTCAGTTAGTCTGACTCACTGTCAAATGATTTGGTTCCATAAAACAAATTTAACAAAGATCAAAATCAGTCACTGTGGCAACTTATGCTGGAAAGCTAACCTGGTCCAGGGCAGGCAAACTGTCAGACTAAGCTGAGCTCCTCTAACACTGAACAATAGGAATGCAATGATATTACCACTGACTCTCTCACATACTATCATAGCCATGCAGCCATTTTCTCTGGTTTTATGACAGCTGTACCTTTTATAGTTAGAGCAGATAGCATTAGAACTTTACAATCTAACATTGCTCTTTAAAGCATTAAAATCACTAAACTAAAAGTTAAAATCACTAAATTAAAAACTACATTTTAACTGCTATAAGAAACACACATTAAGTAGTAATTAAGTAGTAAGCTTATTGATTAGGACTGTATTAGCTTACATTTTATTTACCATAACAGTAGTCCCTTTACAGTTACTGCTATCATTAGAATACACCTATATGTATTTTTAAAATTCTACAAAAGGCAAATTTAATGTCCAACAACGAATATTTTAGCAAAATGCATGTTTGACTCAGAATTATTGTGCTCCGTCTGTTTAGCGTGCATGTACACAGCAGCGCTCGTTCACTCGCGTATACCTCGCCCACTCCTGACAGCAAGCAAAATGGATATATTTGCATGACTTAAAAAATATACTCGTGACATGTCAGTTATGCACTAAGGAAAACACAACGTCTCAAATGCATTAAACAGCACAAATATATTCGCTGTTTGCCATGGTAGATCGATTTGATCCATGATCGACATTAAGGGCTGCTTAAGATTAAGTGTCCACAAATTAGTGAGATTGTGTGAACCTACATTGTCGTTTATGGAACTGCTTTAGCCCCGATTGATTTGTATTCACGAAGCAGAAGTGGTGCATGAGAGAACGCGCTTGAGAAACAGTTTAGAGAGGAGAAATCAATCTACACATAAAATACTGGTCACAGATAAATCGGTTTGTACTGATGCAAATATTTATTTACTGATAAAAATATATATGTTAGAAACGATGCATCGCGATACAAATGCCAACTTGTATCCGATGCACACTTTTTAAACTGATGCATTGCATCGTTAACGTTTTTTGCCGATGCACCGAGCGAATCAGTGAATCTTCCCATCCCTAGTGTTTAATGTCTATAAAATGTATTTAAAGGGGACCTATTATGCAAAATTCACTTTTGCAAGGTGTTTGGACATACAGGTGCAGGTTTTGAGACTTTAGTCTTTGCAACTTCAGGGATCTTATCTATGCACAATCAGCTTGTAACACTCCAAAGAGAAAAAGGAAAACTTGAAATCGCATCATATGACCCCTTTAACATAGAACAGCCCTGAGCGAGTTCACAGCGAGTTGTACACAGTCCGCCAATGCTGCACTGACGAGCGTCTCCCAAGCGTTTTAGGTGTTCTGTAGCTGGATGTATTAATCCACATAGCTCTCTCCATTTACTCCTGAAATCTGAGCCGCTGAAGACGAGGTGGATTCATTTTGTTTTCAAAGAAAATGCTCCCTCAACACAAATTTGTTTATGTCTGCGTGAATCATTTTACACTTGACTGCTTTGTGAATGAGGGTCAGTATAATGCAGGTTTTGCACAAAAGTTGCTCCTGAAGGATGTATTTTTATAGCGCCGTGCTCCCCGTCTGTGTAATTCATAAATAATCTGGCAGGGTGCAGAATTCGGCACGACACCGGTTCCAACCCCGCTATTAGCAGTTTCTGACATTTTCAGTGCGTGAGAGAGTGTTTTGTTATTGCTGGTGCACGAGTTCTAGAAACTCCACCCTCTTCTGAAAGAGGAGGCGGGAGCACCAGCTCGTTTTCATTTAAAGGGACAAACATAAAAAAACAGCGCGTTTTGGCTCATACCCTAAAAATGGCAATTTCAACAAGCTATAAAAAATTATCTGTAGGGTATTTTGAGCTAAAACTTCACATACACACTCTGGGGACATCAGAGACTTATTTTACATCTTGTAAAAAGGGGCATAATAGGTCACCTTTAATGTTATTGTTGTTGCAGAACTCTACCCGAGTCCCCTCCTGACTCCAGTTCAGAGCCATATTCACCCCAGCAAGCCAACGGTAAGTTCAGTCCACCTGAACCGTTTGATGTGAATCGAATTTCAGAAACAATCAAGACTGCAAGTTAAATTAAGATTTTAAAAAAATCTAAAATAACCAACCAAGAACATACACAGAAAATTGTTTAGTTATTGTTTCAGAGGGTGAAGAATACCTTATGATGCATAAATGTAGAAATCAAAATTGAATAAAATGTTAAATGTAACTTAATGTCTGCTTATTCATTTTCCACCTTAGATCCGCACATGCTCAGGACAATGACGCCCGAGAACATGTGTCACATGACCAGTCCTCCGCCTCTTCCCACACACCCCCACTATCCCAGCATGCACCGGGACATGTACCTTAAGCCAGAGCCCATGATTTCGCAGTATCCAATTGGTCCAGGCAGTGGCGGGG